TTAGCCTTTCGTTCGCCATCTTAGCCTGTAACTCTCGAAGTTGTAGCCACTGTTTGTTCAATGAGTAGGAAAGACTCTTTACCTGAATGGAAACTTACTCAGTTGAATGGTGATCTATTAGCATTGCACGAGTGGTTTGGCCTCTCCAAAAACGTAGTGGATTATCGGTGTGCCAACAATGATATGAAGCTTACTTTTTTCAAAACTGTTTAGCGGTAAAGCCAAATACGCTATTCTTGAGTTCGCCCTTTTGTCGACTTTTACTATGGCTCATGAGTTTAATTTCGGTCTATTCACTCAGTTTAAACGGTCACATAGTTACCTCCTATCATGAGGTAGATAGGGCCATGCATGCTGTCAGCAGACAAAAGTGGTCCCAAATATCGTTAGTTCAGTTTAAGGAGTGGCTGCAGGAGAAAATGGACGCACATGATCGCGTGTGCTAAACATCAAGCACGCCGCAGTTTGAAGGTACCAAGCGAATGTAATCTGTTCATTTCCAATTCACGGGCAGAAGTAGTCATTGTTTTTCACCGTGTGTTGCTTGCAAGGTCAACAAGCATCTAGTCATACAGTGTATCGTTTTTCAAAAAAGGCAGCCGATCTACGCCTGGAAATTATACATTACACTAATTGCCTCCAGGGCAATAAACCTTACCGAAACAGCCCGGAAGCCAGAAAAAGTTCGAAAACTAACTGCGAAGGCACCTATAATAGGTTGCTAAACAGTGCAGAACGGGTATGGCATCGGGAATAAGAATAACGAACTGCTAGCAACAATAGTTGGACTGCTGATACAGGCACCAAAATCACAATCTAGAGAGCCGCTGAGCGCAAACTTTTTTCCAAAATGAGCTTTTTCCATATCTCTCAAAGAAATTAAAGAATTCCTTCATGTGATAGAGTTACAAGTTATCTTCAATGGCACAAGTGGCAAAGCGCTGGTTTTGTGTGACATTGCTTGCCATAATTCATGCATGTCATCAAGTCTTGCGAAATGCCTGAATCGAAAAGTCAAGAGTTCAATGTAATCGTCAATTAAATCAATTCTGCTGGGCTAAATTGTAGACAGGAAGCTCAACTTAACGTGTCTTCAGAAGCTGCTGGATAAGAAGTAGCTTTTGAAATTTCAGCTTACTAAAGTGAAACAACCAAAAATGGCTCAAAAGGAATTGATATGGCTTCGCTTCACTGAATATACCTTTACTTGCGACCGGCACTACCGCCAGTCTAAAGATTTGCAGATGAAACGCTATTTCCACTATAAGAATTTCTTTATTTCGTTAGACATTGGAACACTTTCCCTGCCGAATTCAAAACTTGTTCTAGCCATCTTTTTGCTCGTTGGTTGAGTTTCAGTAGTCGGTTACGTTCCTCAACTTATCTTATTAATTTTGCTTTAGTTGTTGCATGCACGATGTAACACTTGTCAATCAATTGAAGTCATGGTATAAAATGAATTCATACGGTACGCACAAAACCGTTGACGCCGGATCACCTTCCGATAAAAGAGCTGTTAGCCTTCTAGAAAGCTCTAATAAATCTTGATCATGTCCGTTGTTAAGTCGGATTGCAGTGGACAGATGATAAAAAAACTGGCGAACATCTGTTTTTCCTTACTAGCGCAACTCAAGTCATTGGCGAAGAAGCGCTTAAGTAAATTCGAATCGCGCCGCAAGCATGAGTGGTACTTACACCACCAACGTAACAATAGCCAAAGACAGCCCGGAAAAGTCCAAAGAGTGATAAACGGAGCCTCCAAACTTCATGAAATTTCTCTCATCATACTTTTTTTTTTTGCTTTTCCAAACTTGTTGCAAAGCCTGCTATATTTCTCAATTCCATTCCGTCAACAAACATTAACTATATGGGCCGACATTGAGGGAATGTTTTGCCGATTCGAAATTGCTCTGAGGCCAACGATCTTTGCGGTTTCTGTTGTATATCAATACACCGGTCAGAAATTTGGAGCACTTGATTCACCAACATGCGCTAACTGAAGCATTTCACACGTTAACTAGTCTAACTAACCTGAAGCCACAGGAACTGGTTGCAAAAAGTTTTCTCACTCTGAACATGCCGTTAACATAACTAAGAATTTAGTTGAGATGCTTAAAGATGGCGGATTTAAAATAACCAAACTTATGAGTGACAGTCCTGGGGGCTGCATAAAACTTAGTACGAATAACAAAGACCTCGAAACTGTTAATGAGAAACTTTTAACCCGGATAGCTTGAAACCTGTCTTGGGCCTGAAAATGGATCATTCCAAAACATGCCGGTAGCTAGTCAATTTATAACTCGTGAGCTGCAGAAAGAGATCACCTAAAGCACCGCACATAGTTTTGTGACATTAGTCTTTGACCCAAATAGCCTTGTTGCGTCTTATCTGTTACACGCTTGTCTCTTGTTGAAACAACAATTGGCGTCTAAGGTCAACAAGACATCCAGGTCTTGTTTTGGAGTGACGCTCACGCTTACCATTTCTAAGCTTACCAAAGAATTAATCCTCGCGCTTGTTTCAGTGCGTCTGTAGACATTGAGGCACTACGAATGTTTTGCGACAGATCGCTAGAAATCTTTGTGCAATGGGATTTCATCGTGGTTTTCTGTCAAGATAAAATGAACGGAGGTCATTTTTGAGTTTACAATACCCTTGTAAAGTTCATAGTTGCCATCTTTCTAACCAGTGTCGAACCGAAGCTGGCTCTTTTATTACCTCTCTTGAAAAACACCTTCGAAATCTCTTGAACATTCTGATATCCCCGAAATTCATATATCTGGCAGTACAACTGTTTAACAGTGACTCCACTCCAATGAAAAATTACCTTTGATGAGGAGTTGTACCACGTAGCCACCGATGACAGTCCCGAAGACAGCCTTTCGTGAAAACTGTTAAGTCACGAGACCGAGTTTCTTGAAAACTTCTGCCTGGCTTCCTAAGCCGTCTCTAGATGTTATAAAAAAGTTCGCCTGGAAGAATCAACCGATATTTTTTGATTCTATGCAAATGAGATAACGGATTGGTTAAATCTGTCATTATTTGGGAGAAAAACTTGGCTCTTTATCCAATTTCACGCACTAGCTGCATACGTAATAAGATTACTGCCATGGCACACACTTTTCCGTCTTTCGATTTTTTGAACTAGAAGTGAAAATGGTCGATAACAAAAACTCCGCTGAAAAATTGAGTTGACTAGCCGTATAATCACCATTTATAGGTTCAAATGGTCTTTTACGCTTGATTGCTTGGTTTCGGCGTCTTGCTTCAAACAGTTTCGGAGCGAAAATTTCTGTGATACTAGATGAGGCTTTCTCTTCACTTGTTCACTTGCCTTACGACACGAGCTGTCCCTATCGACATCTTAGCTTCTCTGCTTGACATTTCGTGGGTTATTATAATTGAGAGGTTGTTTTTCCCGCCGACGAATCCCGTCTGGCGTCAACTCGGTTAATGGCATAACTTCGTGGGCTCCCCAAAAAGCTACTGGTGTGCATTGAAACATGGAATCACCGGGCTACCTGCCGCTTAGCTCACAAAAGCTTTAACCTGAAATTCAAACAAGCTCGTTTGCCAAAACATGGTTGCTCGTGAGAGTGTCTGGTAAAGTCCTGTAATCTCGTGTTCTTTCTTCTCGTTACTGAAAACTAACGCTAGAAATACTTGACTTAACGTGCTGCTTGATTAGGAAATCTTCAATTGAGCGACAACTGACTCCGGTAATTAACTAATTTGAATATTAAAACAGAAAAAAAAATCTCGTCTCGTCTGGCAGGCTATCGCTGACTGTATGTGATTTACCGGTATCACAAAAAGCAAATAATAAACTAATAAACTAATAAAGTTCTAGCCATGAATGTGACCGTTTAGTGGGGAGATATTTATACGTTCTTATGGACAACTTCTGCGATGTAAGCCGTTTCCAGAAAGAATTCACTTTGCTTAAATCTTCAAAGTTTTTTTGGGAGAGTTTTAGGGTCATGAGTTGCGCGGTCGCAACATGTATGGAACTGCCTAAGTTTTTTCCCCTGAACTTGACGTAATTGAATTGTTTGGTTTGCTTTTTTCTCTTGTATGCAAGACAATTGGGCAGACATACAATTGCGCTGTTTTCCAGAAAAGAGTGGACTGACTGGTGGCAGCGCAAGATCAGTAATTCATCCCATTTAATCCCGTCTGGCGTCTACTCGGATAATGGCATAACTTCGTGGGCTCCCCAAAAAGCTACTGGTGTGCATTGAATCATGGAATCAACGGGCTCACTGCCGCTTAGCTCACAAAAGCTTTAAACTGAAATGCAGACAGCCTGGTTTGCCAAAAAATGGTTGCTCATGAGAGTGCCTGGTAAGGTCCTGTAATCTCGTGTTCTTTCTTCTCGTTACTGAAAACTAACGCTAGAATTACTTGACATAACGTGCTGCTTGATTCGGAAATCTTCAATTGAGCGACAACTGACTCCGGTAATTAACTAATTTGAATAATAAAACAGAAAAAAGTCTCGTCTCGTCTGGCAGGCTATCGCTGTCTATATGTGATTTACCGGTATCACAAAAAGCAAATAAAAAACTAATAAACTAATAAAGTTCTAGCCATAATTGTGACCATTTAGTGGGAAGATATTTATACGTTCTTATGGACAACTTCTGCGATGTATGCCGTTTCCAGAAAGAATTCACTTTGCTTACATCTTCAAAGTTTTTTTGGGAGAGTTTTAGGGTCATGAGTTGCGCGGTCGCAACATGTATGGAAGTGCCTAAGTTTTTTCCCCTGAACTTGACGTAATTGAATTGTTTGGTTAGAGCGTTAACCTTATTTTCTGGCCGAGTTTGCTGGGATTAGAAAAGATGTGATATTGGAATTGATCTGCGGACTTTTCAGTTTTTCTCAAATTGCCTAATGTTTGAACAAGGTTCAAATAAATTTGCAAGTTCACTTGTGACAGTGTCAATTTAAACAGTTGAGTTGCTCTCTTTCTTTCAAAAATTAATATGCTTTATCACCTGTACATCGCCGATAGCCACTGCAGTGATCAAATTCATCATCACTATTGTCACGAAAAAGATGAAGAAAAGTGCCAAAAACGCCTGAAGAACTTCGATCCAGTTTCCGATTGCGTTTTCATTCTCATCCCCAGCGTAAGTTCCGATCACCATGTAGAAGCTCTTGAAGGCCGAGTTGACTGGAGTTCGGAAGTTGGGGTTTGAGTCTGGGTTGATGACGTAGAGGCAAAGGGCAGGGGCGAGGAGAAAGAAGGCTGAAATAGGATAGTGATGAAAGAACACTCGCTAACTTCAGTTCCATTGAAAACAGATTCGGTTGCTGCTAAAGAGTAGATGCTACAACCTGTTCAGCCTGTCTGTTCAACTAACTCGGCGGCGATTGAAGTTTTCGCTGAACTTGTGCAGCACTGCAGCAACGCTAGTGTGGCTGCTTTTAAACTGTTTTTCTTTCAGGTCTTTAACTTCTTGAAAGGTTAAGTCAAACTTTCTTAATGCTCTTATTCATGCGAGATTGACAAAATTGAAAATAAGTTATAACCAGAATTCGAACTTAGAAAGTAACAAAGTCTTTTTACTATCGAAATTGTTGGTAAGAAGTTGTTTGCAGACAAAAGTACTGGATAATATAGTTTAATATAGCAAATTTGTAAAAGATGACACACGTATGTAGTGCAAAGTGTGTTGAATTCAACCGTATCAAATAAACTCAAAGGCTAACTGCACTTGTTTGTTTCACTTGGTTCCAGACAAAACAGGGGTCAATTCTAATTGACCCGCAGGTTGTCATACATCTCCAAGGACATAACATAGACTCACTCAATACCCCTATGTCACATTATATTATTATGCCTCAAGATGTGGGTTTGTGGACTTTTTCTTATATTTTGGTGATGGCATGATGTCTACGTGACAGAAAACAGTCAGTGTAAATGACCACAAAGTTCAGATGTTGCGAATGGGTGGGAAAATCAAACGAACTATGCGAAGTGAGCTATGGCACCGCCACAACAGTAGCTTTCTCCCTAGTATCGAGAGGAAGCAGGCGTGGGATATACCTAGTGGCAGGAGTAGTATGAAGAATGTGGGGAGGATGATGAAAAGCATGACAAATTAAAATAGATGGAACAAATTTGTTGGGGTATACCTAGTGGCAGGACTAGTATGAAGCATGTGGCGAGGATGATGAAAAGCATGACAAATTAAAATAGATGGAACAAATTTGTTGGGGTATACCTAGTGGCAGGAATAGTATGAAGCATGTGGCGAGGATGATGAAAAGCATGACAAATTAAAATAGATGGAACAAATTTGTTGGGGTATACCTAGTGGCAGGAATAGTATGAAGCATGTGGCGAGGATGATGAAAAGCATGACAAATTAAAATAGATGGAACAAATTTGTTGGGGTATACCGTGTGGCAGGAGTAGTATGAAGAATGTGGGGAGGATGGTGAAAAACAAGACAAAATAAAATTGACAGAAAAGATGTGTTGGGATATATCTAGTGGCAGGAGTAGTATGCAGAATGTGGCGAGGTTGATGAATAACAAGACAAAATAAAATTGATAGAAAAGATGTGATGGGATAAACCTAGTGGCAGGACTAGTATGAATAATGTGGCGAGGTTGATGAATAACAAGAAAAATAAAATTGATAGAAAAGATGTGTTGGGATATATCTAGTGGCAGGAGTAGTTTGAAGAATGTGGGGAGGATGGTGAATAACAAGACAAAATAAAATTGATAGAAAAGATGTGTTGGGATATATCTAGTGGCAGAAGTAGTTTGAAGAATGTGGGGAGGATGGCGAATAACAAGACAAAATAAAATTGATAGAAAAAATTTGATGGGATAAACCTAGTGGCAGGAGTAGTATGAAGAATGTGGCGAGGTTGATGAATAACAAGACAAAATAAAAATGATAGAAAAGATGTGTTGGGATATACCTAGTGGCAGGAGTAGTATGAAGAATGTGGGGAGGATGGTGAAAAACAAGACAAAATAAAATTGATAGAAAAGATGTGATGGGATAAACCTAGTGGCAGGAGTAGTATGAAGAATGTGGGGAGGATGGTGAAAAACAAGACAAAATAAAATTGATAGAAAAAATTTGATGGGATAAACCTAGTGGCAGGAGTAGTATGAAGAATGTGGCGAGGTTGATGAATAACAAGACAAAATAAAAATGATAGAAAATATGTGTTGGGATATACCTAGTGGCAGGAGTAGTATGCAGAATGTGGCGAGGTTGATGAATAACAAGACAAAATTAAATTGATAGAAAAGATGTGATGGGATAAACCTAGTGGCAGGACTAGTATGAAGAATGTGGCGAGGTTGATGAATAACAAGACAAAATAAAATTGATAGAAAAGATGTGTTGGGATATATCTAGTGGCAGGAGTAATTTGAAGAATGTGGGGAGGATGGTGAATAACAAGACAAAAAAAATTGATAGAAAAGATGTGATGGGATAAACCTAGTGGCAGGAGTAGTATGAAGAATGTGGGGAGGATGGTGAATAACAAGACAAAATAAAATTGATAGAAAAGATGTAATGGGATAAACCTAGTGGCAGGATAAGTATGAAGAATGTGGGGAGGATGGTGAAAAACAAGACAAAATAAAATTGACAGAAAAGATGTGTTGGGATATATCTAGTGGCAGGAGTAGTATGCAGAATGTGGCGAGGTTGATGAATAACAAGACAAAATAAAATTGATAGAAAAGATGTGATGGGATAAACCTAGTGGCAGGACTAGTATGAATAATGTGGCGAGGTTGATGAATAACAAGAAAAATAAAATTGATAGAAAAGATGTGTTGGGATATATCTAGTGGCAGGAGTAGTTTGAAGAATGTGGGGAGGATGGTGAATAACAAGACAAAATAAAATTGATAGAAAAGATGTGTTGGGATATATCTAGTGGCAGAAGTAGTTTGAAGAATGTGGGGAGGATGGCGAATAACAAGACAAAATAAAATTGATAGAAAAAATTTGATGGGATAAACCTAGTGGCAGGAGTAGTATGAAGAATGTGGCGAGGTTGATGAATAACAAGACAAAATAAAAATGATAGAAAAGATGTGTTGGGATATACCTAGTGGCAGGAGTAGTATGAAGAATGTGGGGAGGATGGTGAAAAACAAGACAAAATAAAATTGATAGAAAAGATGTGATGGGATAAACCTAGTGGCAGGAGTAGTATGAAGCATGTGGCGAGGATGATGAAAAGCATGACAAATTAAAATAGATGGAACAAATTTGTTGGGGTATACCGTGTGGCAGGAGTAGTATGAAGAATGTGGGGAGGATGGTGAAAAACAAGACAAAATAAAATTGACAGAAAAGATGTGTTGGGATATATCTAGTGGCAGGAGTAGTATGAAGAATGTGGGGAGGATGGTGAAAAACAAGACAAAATAAAATTGATAGAAAAGATGTGATGGGATAAACCTAGTGGCAGGAGTAGTATGAAGCATGTGGCGAGGATGATGAAAAGCATGACAAATTAAAATAGATGGAACAAATTTGTTGGGGTATACCGTGTGGCAGGAGTAGTATGAAGAATGTGGGGAGGATGGTGAAAAACAAGACAAAATAAAATTGATAGAAAAAATTTGATGGGATAAACCTAGTGGCAGGAGTAGTATGAAGCATGTGGCGAGGATGATGAAAAGCATGACAAATTAAAATAGATGGAACAAATTTGTTGGGGTATACCGTGTGGCAGGAGTAGTATGAAGAATGTGGGGAGGATGGTGAAAAACAAGACAAAATAAAATTGACAGAAAAGATGTGTTGGGATATATCTAGTGGCAGGAGTAGTATGCAGAATGTGGCGAGGTTGATGAATAACAAGACAAAATAAAATTGATAGAAAAGATGTGATGGGATAAACCTAGTGGCAGGACTAGTATGAATAATGTGGCGAGGTTGATGAATAACAAGAAAAATAAAATTGATAGAAAAGATGTGTTGGGATATATCTAGTGGCAGGAGTAGTTTGAAGAATGTGGGGAGGATGGTGAATAACAAGACAAAATAAAATTAATAGAAAAGATGTGTTGGGATATATCTAGTGGCAGAAGTAGTTTGAAGAATGTGGGGAGGATGGCGAATAACAAGACAAAATAAAATTGATAGAAAAAATTTGATGGGATAAACCTAGTGGCAGGAGTAGTATGAAGAATGTGGCGAGGTTGATGAATAACAAGACAAAATAAAAATGATAGAAAAGATGTGTTGGGATATACCTAGTGGCAGGAGTAGTATGAAGAATGTGGGGAGGATGGTGAAAAACAAGACAAAATAAAATTGATAGAAAAGATGTGATGGGATAAACCTAGTGGCAGGAGTAGTATGAAGAATGTGGGGAGGATGGTGAAAAACAAGACAAAATAAAATTGATAGAAAAAATTTGATGGGATAAACCTAGTGGCAGGAGTAGTATGAAGAATGTGGCGAGGTTGATGAATAACAAGACAAAATAAAAATGATAGAAAATATGTGTTGGGATATACCTAGTGGCAGGAGTAGTATGCAGAATGTGGCGAGGTTGATGAATAACAAGACAAAATTAAATTGATAGAAAAGATGTGATGGGATAAACCTAGTGGCAGGACTAGTATGAAGAATGTGGCGAGGTTGATGAATAACAAGACAAAATAAAATTGATAGAAAAGATGTGTTGGGATATATCTAGTGGCAGGAGTAATTTGAAGAATGTGGGGAGGATGGTGAATAACAAGACAAAAAAAATTGATAGAAAAGATGTGATGGGATAAACCTAGTGGCAGGAGTAGTATGAAGAATGTGGGGAGGATGGTGAATAACAAGACAAAATAAAATTGATAGAAAAGATGTAATGGGATAAACCTAGTGGCAGGATAAGTATGAAGAATGTGGGGAGGATGGTGAAAAACAAGACAAAATAAAATTGATAGAAAAAATTTGATGGGATAAACCTAGTGGCAGGAGTAGTATGAAGAATGTGGCGAGGTTGATGAATAACAAGACAAAATAAAAATGATAGAAAAGATGTGTTGGGATATACCTAGTGGCAGGAGTAGTATGCAGAATGTGGCGAGGTTGATGAAAAACAAGACAAAATTAAATTGATAGAAAAGATGTGATGGGATAAACCTAGTGGCAGGACTAGTATGAAGAATGTGGCGAGGTTGATGAATAACAAGACAAATAAAATTGATAGAAAAGATGTGTTGGGATATATCTAGTGGCAGGAGTAATTTGAAGAATGTGTGGAGGATGGTGAATAACAAGACAAAGAAAAATTGATAGAAAAGATGTGATGGGATAAACCTAGTGGCAGGAGTAGTATGAAGAATGTGTGGAGGATGGTGAATAACAAGACAAAATAAAATTGATAGAAAAGATGTAATGGGATAAACCTAGTGGCAGGAGTAGTATGAAGAATGTGGGGAGGATGGTGAATAACAAGACAAAATAATATTGATAGAAAAAATGTGATGGGATAAACCTAGTGGCAGGAGTAGTATGAAGAATGCTGAGAGGTTGATGAACAACAAGACAAAATAAAATTGATAGAAAAGATGTGATGGGATAAACTTAGTGGCAGGAGTAATATGAAGAATGTGGCGAGGTTGATGAATAACAAGACAAAATAAAATTGATAGAAAAGATGTGATGGAATAAACCTAGTGGCAGGACTAGTATGAAGAATGTGGCGAGGTTGATGAATAACAAGACAAAATAAAATTGATAGAAAAGATGTGTTGGGATATACCTAGTGGCAGGAGTAGTATGCAGAATGTGGCGAGGTTGATGAATAACAAGACAAAATAAAATTGATAGAAAAGATGTGTTGGGATATACCTAGTGGCAGGACTAGTATGAAGCATGTGGCGAGGATGATGAAAAGCATGACAAATTAAAATAGATGGAACAGATTTGTTGGGGTATACCTAGTGGCAGGAGTAGTATGAAGAATATGGCGAGGTTGATGAATAACAAGATAAAATAAAATAGATAGAAAAGATTTGTTGGGGTATACCTAGTGGCAGGAGTAGTATGAAGAATATGGAGAAGATGATGAATAACAAGACAAAATAAAATTGATAGAAAAGTTGTGTTGGGATATACCTAGTGGCAGGAGTAGTTTGAAGAATGTGGAGAGGATGATGAAAAACAAGACAAAATAAAATAGATAGAAAAGATGTGTTGGGGTATACCTAGTGGCAGGAGTAGTATGAAGAATATGGAGAAGATGATGAATAACAAGACAAAATAAAATTGATAGAAAAGATGTGTGGGGATATATCTAGTGGCAAGAGTAGTATGAAGAATGTGGCGAGGTTGATGAATAACAAGACAAAATAAAATTGATAGAAAAGATGTGATAGAATAAACCTAGTGGCAGGACTAGTATGAAGAATGTGGCGAGGTTGATGAATAACAAGACAAAAAAAAATTGATAGAAAAGATGTGTTGGGATATACCTAGTGGCAGGAGTTGTATGCAGAATGTGGCGAGGTTGATGAATAACAAGACAAAATAAAATTGATAGAAAAGATGTGTTGGGATATACCTAGTGGCAGGACTAGTATGAAGCATGTGGCGAGGATGATGAAAAGCATGACAAATTAAAATAGATGGAACAGATTTGTTGGGGTATACCTAGTGGCAGGAGTAGTTTGAAGAATATGGCGAGGTTGATGAATAACAAGATAAAATAAAATAGATAGAAAAGATTTGTTGGGGTATACCTAGTGGCAGGAGTAGTATGAAGAATATGGAGAAGATGATGAATAACAAGACAAAATAAAATTGATAGAAAAGTTGTGTTGGGATATACCTAGTGGCAGGAGTAGTTTGAAGAATGTGGAGAGGTTGATGAAAAACAAGACAAAATAAAATAGATAGAAAAGATGTGTTGGGGTATACCTAGTGGCAGGAGTAGTATGAAGAATATGGAGAAGATGATGAATAACAAGACAAAATAAAATTGATAGAAAAGATGTGTTGGGATATATCTAGTGGCAAGAGTAGTATGAAGAATGTGGGGAGGATGGTGAATAACAAGACAAAATAAAATTGATAGAAAAAATGTGATGGGATAAACCTAGTGGCAGGAGTAGTATGAAGAATGTGGCGAGGTTGATGAATAACAAGACAAAATAAAACAGAAAGAAAAGTTGTGTTGGGATATACCTAGTGGCAGGAGTAGTATGAAGAATGTGGAGAGGATGATGAATAACAAGACAAAATAAAATTGATAGAAAAGATGTGTTGGGATATATCTAGTGGCAGGAGTAGTATGAAGAATGTGGGGAGAATGGTGAATAACAAGACAAAATGAAATTGATAGAAAAGATGTGATGGGATAAACCTAGTGGCAGGAGTAGTATGCAGAATGTGGCGAGGTTGATGAATAACAGGACAAAATAAAATTGATAGAAAAGATGTGATGGGATAAACCTAGTGGCAGACTAGTATGAAGAATGTGGCGAGGTTGATGAATAACAAGACAAAATAAAATTGATAGAAAAGATGTGTTGGGATATACCTAGTGCCAGGAGTATTATGCAGAATGTGGCGAGTTTGATGAATAACAAGACAAAAAAAATTGATAGAAAAGATGTGTTGGGATATACCTAGTGGCAGGACTAGTATGAAGCATGTGGCGAGGATGATGAAAAGCATGACAAATTAAAATAGATGGAACAGATTCGTTGGGGTATACCTAGTGGCAGGAGTAGTATGAAGAATATAGCGAGGTTGATGAATAACAAGATAAAATAAAACAGATAGAAAAGTTGTGTTGGGATATACCTAGTGGCAGTAGTAGTATGAAGAATGCGGAGAGGATGATGAAAAAACCAGACATAATAAAATAGATTGAAAAGATGTGTTGGGGTATACCTAGTGGCAGGAGTAGTATGAAGAATGTGGCGAGGTTCATGAATAACAAGACAAAATAAAATTGATAGAAAAGATGTGCTGGGATAAACCTAGTGGCAGGATAAGTATGAAGAATGTGGGGAGGATGGTGAAAAACAAGACAAAATAAAATTGACAGAAAAGATGTGTTGGGATATATCTAGTGGCAGGAGTAGTATGCAGAATGTGGCGAGGTTGATGAATAACAAGACAAAATAAAATTGATAGAAAAGATGTGATGGGATAAACCTAGTGGCAGGACTAGTATGAATAATGTGGCGAGGTTGATGAATAACAAGAAAAATAAAATTGATAGAAAAGATGTGTTGGGATATATCTAGTGGCAGGAGTAGTTTGAAGAATGTGGCGAGGTTGATGAATAATAAGACAAAATAAAATTGATAGAAAAGATGTGTTGGGATATACCTAGTGGCAGGACTATTATGAAGCATGTGGCGAGGATGATGAAAAGCATGACAAATTAAAATAGATGGAACAGATTCGTTGGGGTATACCTAGTGGCAGGACTAGTATGAAGAATATAGCGAGGTTGATGAATAACAAGATAAAATAAAACAGATAGAAAAGTTGTGTTGGGATATACCTAGTGGCAGGAGTAGTATGAAGAATGTGGAGAGGATGATGAATAATAAGACAAAATAAAATTGATAGAAAAGATATGTTGGGGTATACCAAGTGGCAGGAGTAGTATGAAGAATGTGGCGAGGATTCTGAATAGAATGGCATATTAGAGTAGATGGAATATTTGTGTTGGGATATACCTAGTGGCAAGAGTAGTTTGAAGAATGTGGCGAGGATTCTGAATAGAATGGCATATTAGAGTAGATGGAATATTTGTGTTGGGGTATACCAAGTGGCAGGAGTAGTATGAAGAATGTGGCGAGGATTCTGAATAGAATGGCATATTAGAGTAGATGGAATATTTGTGTTGGGATATACCTAGTGGCAAGAGTAGTTTGAAGAATGTGGCGAGGATGCCAAATAGCATGACAATGTAGATGCCGAAGTACTGGTTTTGCCGGCTGTGGAACCCCACGTTGATCCACAGCAGGAACAGCACCACAGTCAGGCGGAACCAGCTGGCGTCAGAGGGCACGTGTTCCCCAAACTCAGCCTAAATTAAACACCCCCGAGAGAAGAGAAGATTCAAATGAGATCACAAAAATCGGGTGCAAAAGTTTCGTGATATCTTTTCGTTTTTCGCAAAAATTATTTTCTTTTCCATTATGTGTTCCAGATGCTTTCTAGTTTGCCTTGATAATAAAAAAAGAACATGTGTTTTCAGTTTGTTGGCTTCCTTTTTTGGGATATAGGTAAACGGTCTATCAACTTAAAATATGACATAACAATTAAGAGAGAATAGAGAATCAGTTTTCAAGTAAGTGCAGAAATAGACTGACAGACAATTTACAGAATGGATGAACTTTAGAATAGTGACTACAGCTTACCGACTAATGATGCGGCCATAAAATAAACATACTAATTACTAAAAAACAGATGGCTCCCTTTCAATACCACTCTCCTAGATAAGAGAGATGGGCAACAAAACATGGTAAGTTTCATATTCACTGAAGCCAATCTCGCACCCATGTTACCGTCGCATTCCCTTCTAAGAACGAAAGTCTGTAACAACTGCAAACTGTATGAGCAAAGTTTTGCAAACCATTTTTCGAAGATTACTTTACTTGTTGATTGACTTTATCGCTAAAAAGATGATCAATTTAATTTCACATGCAATCAGTTTTGGTCATAGATTTAAAATTTGACAGGCACTTTTTCAAAATCACTGGACTAAATAGCGCCGATAATTGTTCGATAATTCGAAGAAATGAGGAATGTTTATGCTTGGGCTGGTGAGTAATTTTGCGACCTCCGCGACTAATTTTTCGACCACTGCGACTAATTTTTGGACCACTGCAACTAATTTTTCGACCACTGCGACTAATTTTTCGACCGCCGCGACCGAGATACCTTATTTCCAGAGTTTGTCCGCGATTTGAAAAATTAGTCGCGCGCGGACTTCGACCCGGGTTTGTTATATTCAGCCAAACCTCGGCGATCGAAACAATAGTTCTCCTTTAATTTTTGTACCCCATTGAAGATACCGACTCCCTGGAAAAAAACACAAACACAACATGAATAGACCTACAACAGTCTATTCAAAATTACTTTTGATGTTCTAAACTATTATAAACGTGTCAGCATGACAAGTGCAAACGAACAGACAGCAATTTGTTACCCGGAAGTTTCCGTATGAAAATTTTTTAAGCAATTATATGTTGTAATTTTACGAGGGAATGGGGTTGGGAAACTGGAAACGAGCTTTGGTGTAAAATGGCTGAACCCTAACTCTCAAAAAGAACATGTAATTTGTCATATGCAAAATTAAAGACAAATAATATCACATGAATCAAAGTGTAAAATCGTGAAATGTAAAACTTGTGTCAAATTAACAGCCTAAGTCACTTGTTTTTTTCACATCTTGCTCAAAAAACAAAGCTGGTAGACAAAAATATTGTTTTTTAAGGTCGTACATGAAATTTTACAAACTTGAAATTTTGAGTCCAAAAACACTAATGGAGAGATTCTCTCAGCCTAAGCTTCGTTTGTCTGAGACCCGTTAAGGATTCTTGATCCTTCGACTATTTTGCAATTGTTTTCGGAAGCAGCTCCAGAAAAAGAAAAAGTAACACATTCCACCAGGTTCGGAATTTCAGAAGTTGGCAATTTGTTGGGTAAAAGTTAGATCTCAGCACTGAGGTTACCTTCGAATGCACACTATAAGGACAAAAGACTCTATTTATATGCTTTCTACAGTCAGAAACCGCTTCTGAAAAAAATGCTATTCTAATTGTTCGGGGAAACAAAATAATGCAAACCTAAAAATTCAGAAATTAGCAATTATTATAAAATTGTGTTGCCATTTTTGGAAATGTTTCCGGTAAAACAAACCAGGTGCTTTTTAAGCGATCACATAATTTTTATAATTAACCAATTTTCAGTTTTTTTGCGCTCGGTATTTGACAAAATCAACCAAAATTGGTGTCTATTGTCGCAAAAATAGGCTTTGTTTAGTGCTTGTTTTGCACAACGATGTACTTAAAAACTCTGCGACACGACTTTTCCTTTAATTCTTATTTTTGTTTCGACTTTCGATACGAAAGTGACGGAATATTTGTGCTCGGGGTGGGTTTTTTTTTCTTCAGACAAATTTCGACTTTTTAACTAGCCATTTTTGACAGTATTTCTTTATATCATTCAAAAGGTATTGTTGTCCTGAGCTTAAATTTGAAAAGATATTTCACCTGTGATCATTTTTTGTAAATTTATGGGGGTTTAAAGATTGCCATTTTGGCCAATTTGGGACAATTAACGCGCGATATATTTCGCGCTATTAACGCGTAAGCGGAGAGTTTATCCGTCTTAGAAATCGTTCCCAATTGATTTAACGAAGCTTATTTGCAATAATTGTTTTGTTACAATGAGCAAAATCTGTTCTTTTAAACTTTATATGGCGTGTGGGGGGATGATTTCATAAAAAAAATTTCAAATTTTAGAAAAAAAAATTTCATTTTTTTAAATTATATTTAATTTTTTTTATGTTACTACTGCTCGATAAACCTGAAAAGGCAGTCGGAACATTCAGGGCTTTGTCCTGATACGAGCAATCTTGTTAATTTTTGTGTCCCGTCAACTTTTTTTTGTTCCGACTTTCGATACGAAAGTAACGGAATATTTGTGCTCGGGGTGGGTTTTTTTTTTCTTCAGACAAATTTCGACTTTTTAACTAGCCATTTTTGATAGTATTTTTTAATATCATTCAAACAGTATTGTTGTCCTGAGCTTAAATTTGAAAAGATATTTCACCTGTGGTTATTTTTCGTAAAGCTACGGGGGTTTAAAAATTGGCATGTTGGCCAATTTGGGACAATTAACGCGCGATACATTTCGCGCTATTAACGCGTAAGCGGAGAGTTAATCTGTATTAGAAATCGTTCCAAATTGGTTATAAGAAGCTTATTTGCCATAATTGGTTTGTTTCAGGGAACGAAATCTATCCTTTTGTACTTTAAATGGCGTGTCGGGGGATGATATTCAAAAAAAAAAATTCAAATTTCAAAAAAAAAAATTTTTCATTTTGTTTTGTTTTATTGAATTTTTTAATGTTGTTACTGCTTCATAAACCTTAAAAGACAGTCGGAACGTTCAGGGATTCGCCCTGATACGAGCAGTCTTGTCTAATTTTAGTTTCAAAGTAAGTATTAGGTTTGTTAGTCTTTTGAAACTGTCCTCTGTTTTTGATTGCTTTTGTTTTTCAATTTTTTTTCAAGTTTAATCAAATTTGATCTATTGAAGCTCTCAGTTTTATGACAAAGGTTTTGTCGTTGTCTCCGAAAAACAGTTTGTATTATTTGAGACCCTGTGTAGACCTTCTTGTGGCGGTCCTGTATATGATCTACAATTGTTCTGGTTTAGCTAACTGCGCATCAAAAACACAAGTTTACTGGATTATTTCGCAATTTGCATCTGTTTACAGCTTTGCTTGCAAGAAACCGGCAATTTTTTTGTTTTTTTTTCATAACTTCAAAATAAATGGTGAGTGTGTTTGTAATTTAATCGTCCTGTTTGTTTGATTTCTTTTGTTTCGACCTTAGATTTGGTTTTCTTGAGCGCGTTCATTTTAATTAGTAACTTTTTACCTGACTTCATTTGGCGTTCCTGTATATTATCAGCAAATAGGGTGGTTTTGATAACTGCCGAATCATCGCTTTTTATAGGGTTTTTTTATGCTGGCAACTATTCTACAGTTTGACTATTTTTTCCTCAATCATAACCGTTCGACATGCAAATTTACAAGAGAGTTTTTTTTAAAACAAGTTCGCATATAATGGAACATGTGCTTTAAACTTTGGGAGAAATTGCGTATCCTATGTGATGCAAATGTTCAATCATCTAAAACTGCATGTTCTTCCATAATTTATCTATAATACCCACGAAAGTTTTTACGTACTTTACATGTTTGCTTATGTGAATTCATATGTGGAATTTCATATTTTTGTCCAGATAAACTTGAGTGTTTAATTATATTCTGATGTAAATTCTATTTATGTCTATGTAACCCGCACTGGAGTTCCATTAAAAATAATCGATTATATAGTTATTTTATAGTCAGTTTCTATAAAATTACAAAAATAATCGGTTTTAATCTATCAAAAATGGAACATGTGATTATTTTCTGATGTAAAGTCCATTTATGTTTATGTAAGTTCACACTTTCGCTCATTTGGCTTTCGCTCATATGATTTTACAATTGAATGGATATTCACATATGTGACAATAGATGAATAGGCATGTAAAATCACATGAGCACTCATGCAAATCTTGGCAAAATGCAAAAGCAACCCGCACCGGAGTTTCACGGGTAATAATCGATTATAATGGATTTTCGTTCACTAAAATGTTGTCTATATAATCGATTATCATGTCAAATTTAGACCACGTAGTCAATTTTTACTCGATTATAATCGATTATTTTGGAAAAACTTAAATCCATTATAATCCATTAAAATCGATTATAATCCGTTTTTAATTTCAATATAATGGATTATTTTTTGTACATAAAATCCAAGAAAACTTTGTAAATTTTGTAAATAATGATTCCAATTTTTGCAACTTTCTGCAAAACTCGAACGAGCACGTTCATCCAGGGGCGGCCAATATACCCAGAAACAGCATTTGTGACCAGCTCCTCATGTCAACCCCTATCCCCGCACCAATGTATCCCCCCAGCGTACCCACCCCCCCACGTACCCCCAACCACGACGTACCCCCCTCGCGTACCCCCATCTCCCCACGTACCCCCCAACCACGACGGACCCCCCCCCCCTTCCTCTCTCTCTCTAGTTAGGGGACATCTAACTGTAGTACGGGTAAGTAAGCGTGCGGGGGGGGGGGGGGGTAGTTGGTGTAACTTTTTGTTAATTCTTTAGGTAACTTATTGTTCTATAGGTAACTTTTTGTAATTTTTCAAGACTCGATTGAAAATAGGAAAAAAAATGAAATTAAGCGAGAGAACAAAATAACTACCTTAAGTATAACAAAATTATGAAAAAATGAAAACAACCCACAAAAAGATTTGAATAAATAGATTATAATCCATTATAATCGATTAAAATTGACTAATTTTCTTTTGATAAATTTTTCCTAAAAATAATCGATTATAATCGATTATAATCGATGGTATTGGGTTTTTATTGCTTAAAAAATATTATCATTATAATCCATTTTCAATCGATTATAATCGATTATTTTTGTTAATTTGTAGAGACTGACAATGAAAATCCAATATAATTGATTACTATCCATGAAATTTCAGTGCGGGAAGCATGTGGTTTCACATGAGCTAGAATGTAATATCATAAATATAAACAAACATGTAAATTAGGTACAAATTTTAGCGGGGATGCCAAATAAATTAGGAAAAAAAACTTTAAATGATTGAACACGTGGATCACATGTGCCACGCAATTTATCCCGTCGTTCATTTTTAGTGTTAAGTGTAGAAGCACTTTGTCTTCTGATAATTAGTGCTTGCATTCAGCAGTTTCTTCTCTGCCACAGAATCCTTTCAAAAAAGAATGCGCGGAATGTACGAATATTGAAGCTGTTAATGAATCTCCTTTTAACAATCGGTGCAATCAAGGGTCCATCTACCATTTTCTCGACGAGGGGGGACGGGTTAGGTTTGAAAAACTTTGGGGTCTTATGCACTAAACGGCCCAATTTCCTTATTTCTACATATCTTGAACTGAAATTATTGTGGATGAATTTGATTGGCTAATTAGCCAATCAAGTTCCATCGACATTTTCGGCCATTTCAATTGAATTTTCAAGCAGATAAAATTATAACCCGAAATGATAACGATAAAAAAATTGAATTTTGTTTTGTCAAGCCATTTTACTGAATTTTGCTTGTCTGGGCAAGGTTTCACAAGTGACTCAAAATTAATTTGATAATTTGGCTCAAATTTCTACCTTATCGGCAATGTCGGCTAATATTTTTATCTGCTAGAAAAGTTGATCGGAATGCCTGACTGTAAGCCCGGGATGACCAAAAATACTAGTCATACAATTTCCATATATGGAAAAATGCTAGTCATACACTTTCCATACAATTCCATACGTACAGAAAATTGCATGAAAGGTCTATGATTAGTTTTTTTTTTCATATATGGAAATTGTATGACTAGCATTTTTCCATAAACCAAAAATTTTGAATTTTTACATTTTAATTTCTCAAAATTTTTTGGTTGTGTTCGTAATCGAACACAAATGACATAAACCTTGATTACTCAAACGTAGTAACCAAAGGTTTGGCCGTCTCGCATTAAAAAGGCATTGGAAACAGCCAGAAAGAGTAGTTTTGAGCGTTTTTGAAAAAAATTATGAAGAGAAAAGGAAAAAAAATCAATATTAGTATATCCAGGACTACGTTAAACACACAAAAAATTAAATTTTGCATGCAAAATTTTTTTTTCAAAAAATGTTTGTTTGAATACGAAAATCAGTTTGCGATTGAAAAAAAAACACAAAAAAATTTTTGGGGGCAATTTCAAAAATACTTTGAAAATTTTTGTCGTCGCCATCAAAAAAATGCTAGTCATACAATTTCCATATATGGAAATTGTAGGACTAGTGTTTTTTTTCAGAAAACAAAAATAAAAAAAGTCAAAGTTTTCAATTGTAGCAGCCCAAAAAACGCTTAAATGTTTTGCCAGCAGTTGAATTGATTGTTAAAAGCTTTTTTCACAATTGTGTTCTAAAATGCTAATCATACAATTTCTATATATGGAAATTGTATGATTAGCCTTTTTTTTCAGACCATTTTTTTCCCTTTTTTTAAAGAAGAGATACCAATTTCGATACCAAAACAACTATAAAATACCTTTGAAAATCGATTAAACTCATTTTGCGAAAATGTATGAAATTTGTATGACTAGCATTTTTGCATAGACTAAGTGTATGAAATTGTATGATTAGCATTTTCGGTCTATGGAGGTCAACCCGGGTAACTTGAATTTGATTGACTAAAATTACCCAATCAAATTTGATCGAATAATTTCCAGCTTACGCTGTAGAAAAATTGATTTTGGGCCGTTTAGTGCATAAGACCCAATCTTTGCAACATTTTGTCAACCTTTTTTAGGCCTACCAAATTGTTTTTGAACGCTCCCAGACACTATAAAGATCCTATTTTGACAAAAAAAATTGTGAAAGTTAGGACCAAAAGTCGGTTTTTCATTCGGCGCGCGCTCCCTTTCAAAATTAGTATCTGGAAAAATAAGGGGGTTAGTCGGCCGAAAAGGATGTCATCAAATAATATCAAATGGAGCAACGTCTGGCTGGCGAGAGAGTCGAATCCCTGAACAAAAAGACGTCCAACACTCCACGCCCCAAACCCAGTATGGAAAGTTTGGAGCTTGCAAAGTTAGGAGCTTGCAAAGTTAGGAGCTTGGAAAGTTCGGAGCTTGGAAAGTTCGGAGCTTGGAAAGTTCGGAGCTTGAACATCATGCAAGATCGTTCAAGGTATATCAAAGTTAGCCATGATATTTTCGAATTCGGATATAAATTGAGGGGGGTGGGGGTGGTGGGAATGAAATGAGGAGTGAAATGAGGAATGAAATGAGGAATGAAATGAGGCGACGTACATCTGTGACTAGGAAGTAGTAGACTACGAGTGTGAGTGTGATGACAGCGAAGAAGGCGAACTCGTACCAGTTGGATACCCTGCTCCAGTAGAGGGATTTGAGCAGCACCAGTGGCACCACTTCCAGCACCATCCCCCCCAAGCACAATGCAACCACACTCAAGTACAGCCCCGTGCGCACGTCTAAACACAACAACTGTAACTACATCATCAACTTACTTTTTCAATCTTGTGTGCAAACGAAGCTGCTGGTCTACCAAAGCATGTCTTTCGCTTCAAAATGATTCAATTTCATTCATTTTTATCCAACTTTTGTGTATGTCTATTTAATGGAACTTGTTTTCTTCTCAGGAAGCTAACTACTCCTTCACGCGGAACAATGTCTGAAACTAGGAACTGAAGGGGAACATAGAAACGGGCTCTACTGAGCTGAACTGAAATGAATTGAATGCATATATACAGTCGCGGATTTAGGGGGGGGGGGTTGACGCCTTTTCCCTCAGGGATTCGACCGCCCCTTTGTACTGTTTAGAGAGATCCATTTTTGGTGACCGACCCTAAAATTTTTCTAAAGGCGCTTTTGGCGCCATTATACCAAGGTTGACAAAAATGCTTATCATACTATTTCATATTATGAAAAAAATGCTTATCATACTAATTCATACTATTTCATAGACCAAAAAAAATACTGTGAAAATAGCATGATTGTGCTCCTTCGACTGTATCTCGCCCGTCAATCAATAGCCGATCGCAACAACAATTCCAATAATAAAAATGAATTAAGAAATGAATATAACCAGATACAGAGTAGCCTATAACTGGCTGAAATATAAATTAACCGTTCAATTAAGGAAAATGGTCTGTGATTCTTATTAACCAACTAACTGCCTCCAACGGTTTATCAATACTCCACTCTTTACTATCTTTCCCTCTGAACTACACTTTATCCCCGAAAGTACCTAGAAAAATCACCTCACCCGATAAATTAACAAATCTCACGAAGTTGTTTCTTTAAGGCTTTTGTAACTTTTTCTAATCGACTTACTTAGTCTTCGTCAACTTTCGTTCTCACCTTACTTTGAGAATCAAGCGACTACCTAAGCTTGCAGCCCAAATTGTTCTGACGCTTAAAATTCGTCCCGAAACATCCGCGTCTTATGTCTATTTACTCCTAGTTTTAGTTAGAGATTCGACATTCCGTATAAGTCCTAACATTTACTTAAATACCTCTTACGCAGCGTTCAAGTTCTTAATTCCAGCATGATCACATTCCGTTGAATGCCAAATTCAAAATGTCAATCAGTACTATGCTAAACAAATAACAAGTGCAACTTCAACTTAATTCAAGCTATGTTTACATATCAAAATGCCCAAGGACTATTTAGTTTTCCCGTATTTTTCCCTTCTCCCATGAATAGGATACAACCCCAGTGAACTTAATTTCCCGTTCATCATAATCCAAAAATTCCCATACATAACCTATTCAAGTTTCAAGCTAACCGACCTTCGGGGTAAGCCGTTCCCTTAACTGGGGTCCAATCGAGCCAATAAAACATTCCCCAGAAGCCAATGGATCATTCTGTACAATCCTAACATTTAGATTAATCAATTCCCCTATTTCCTCGTTTATATTGCCAAAATGATATGTTACTACTTTTCTGTGCCATTGAAGCATTTCTATTTGTAGTGCATTCACCAAGTCAAATTGAGCCCAATGTCTGCTCAGCTCATT